TCCTTATAACCTGAATAATCTTTAAACAAAATCACTGGCTAATACATATATTTTTACAGTTTTAATCACAATATTTCCAAGAAAAACATCTCTAAAGCAGAATTCTGGCCCTTTTTGGCTTAAATTTGGAACTGCACAGTTAAATATTTAACTAAAACATGTGTTAAATGATTGTACTGTTGTTTTGTCAGCGTTATTGCAGTAAAGGGGTAACAGAGGAGATTCAGGGATCATAACAGTAAAAGTTTTTAATTTATTCTAAAACAATAATATAGTCATATGGATCCATATTTCTACCTACCTATCTTACTACCTATCAAAGTAAGTCAAAAACCAGCCTTGCGGTTGTAAAAATACAGTTAATTCATTTTGGGAACGACGTTTAGACAGTTTTTCTCTAATTTTTGGCCGAGGATTAGGTGGTAAATCCGCCCGGGGAACCACATGTGCGATGTGCCTACAGACAAACTACTGCGATAACATTTATCTTTAGAATTAACGCTCTTCCATTTCCACTGTGTTGGCACATTTCAGAGAGAGGAAGGGCTGATTTTATTTTTTCTGCTCTTGAACTCAAGCTGTCAAAATTCTGCCTTTCCTTCACCCCTGATGCTACCCCACAGCCCCGGCCCTTGAAATAACTCACCGTCGGGCCTCTCCTCTTTCACTCCCCCTGCCTCACTTCATCTTTTCTTTCCTCTGCCAAAGAAAGGGAGGATGACGGTCTGTAACGTCTGAGCGTGTGCGTCTGCGGTGTGAGAGGAGAAGGAGGAAGATGAGGAATCCAGACTCTGATCCTGTTCCTGTCTGTCACCATCTCGCTCTGCTGCGGCGTTTTCTCTCGCTCGAGTTTGTTCGCCTCGTACAGTCAGCGGGTGTGTGGCCACCTCAAAGCATTTTTTCCATTCCTGCCTGTCTTCAGCTCGTCAGCTCGGACCGCTGACTGTTAATCTTCCTGCACGGTGTGAGGGTCAGACACGAGCCATTTTCCTACCATCGCGCTGTCAAACTGCAGCTAACTCTGGAAAAACACTTCCAGTGGACATCTAGTCTCTCGTCTGTCTTTCATCAACGCACAATCCCTCCATACTTAACGTCAACAACGATCAAAACTGTACTAACTACGCTTCGCCACAGGATCAGCCATAACTCACCCATAACATGCTCAGTAATTAGTCATTAAGAAAAAACTGGCTACACGGAGAGCTGACACTGTCGGTTTTTACATATCTTGGTTTACCAAAAGAGTCTAGAGGCTAATATCTTCACATCTATCGTTTGTACCTTCTTTAGAAGAAGATTTACTTTATTAATCCCGATAGGAGATTCTTTTTTCACTCAATTTCAAAATACAATCACACACACAGGGCTTAGAGACATGCGAATGTGATGGTCTGCCACGTACATCCTTGGTCCAGCCCTGTGTGAATATACTATGAATTTTCCTTTAGGTCACCTGGTGATGGACCTGAACCACATGCTGCGTCCGGCCAAGTCTCCTGAGAAATGTAACCTGCAGCTTCTGGACCAGCCTGCGGACAGACTGGTGTCTCTGTTCGAACAGAAGACCGTCAAAGGATGGTGGCCCTGCACCTGCGAGAAAAACGGAGAGAAGATCATCGCTGTGAGTAAATCAAACACACCCCAGACAAACACACTCATTCCTTCACCAGTGAACCCACAGACAAAACCAATACAGTCTAAATTCGCTCCAACTTTGAATAATAATAATTTCAACAAACAAACAAAGGAAATAAACTCAGAGAGATATTGTGACTGACTGTGTGTTCTTGGCTTACTAGTGTGCTAGCAGTCTGCTCACCAGGCGCCCTTTGTCTCTGTTTCAGGGGAAAGTGGAGATGTCTCTGGAAATCGTGACGGAGCACGAGCACGAGGAGAGACCGGCTGGCAACGGCAGAGACGAACCCAACATGAACCCTCACCTGGAGGAGCCTCAGTGAGTCTCACACACGCACACACACACACACACACACACACATACACACCAACATACAAATACGGTTCCTCATTCTCTTCTCTCCTCCCAGGCGTCCAGAGACCTCCTTCCTGTGGTTCTCCTCCCCCTATAAGACCCTCAAGTACATCCTGTGGAGGCGGTTCAAGTGGTTCATCATCCTCTTCATCATCCTCTTCTTCATCCTCCTCTTCCTAGGCGTCTTCCTCTACTCCTTCCCGGTAAGTTTGAGTCTCTGTGTGAATAACTGATATGGTACATGGATGGAGATATGTATATACGAGAGGAGAAGGAAAACCTCCTGCATCCTCTCTTATTTTTCTCTCCTTACTGTTTTTCTTTTCATCCTACAGAACTACGCTGCCATGAAGATGGTGGGACCGTTTGGACCGGCCAAGGCAGCAGAGTGACGATGGAAGAAGGAGAAACAAGCTGACACAATGAAGAACAACTTCCTACAAGTGAAATTAGGCTGAATTTCTTTTATTTTTCTTCTTTTTCTTGAGTCTTTAAAACTTGCTGAAGTTGTTCAGAGGGAATGAAAACTGCAGCGTTGAACTTGTGAACTGTGTTCCAGATAAGTTTACCCTCTTTTGTACAGACAGACCTGATTAGCAATAGTGCCCAGGGTTCTAAAACGCCTCTGAAATGACGTATGTGTGTGTGTTAGTGTGTCCATTGGTGCCTTTACTGTTAAATTCATGCGTCACTCTCCATTCATCAGAAAAAAAACGCTGCTTTACTGTACCGGATTCATTTCCAAACTTATCATCAGATCTCAGCATGGGTCTTCCGACGTCCCTTCGTCAAGTCCTTCATCCCTCTTTACGTCTCGTCTGCCCTCACGCAGAGAAGAAGGAGCTTAAAAGCCCGCCGGGAAACGCCGCCACGTTCTAAAAAAGCTGAAACAGAATCAGAGATTGTGACGTCTGATCTTTTCACCGCCTGCTGTGTCTGTTTCTTCAACGAGGCAAAGTAAGGTCAGGCAACGGTGACTGGGCGGCTTCAAACTTATGAAGAAGAACCTCAAAGCGAGAACAGGGATCGTATTCCCTCTGAATCATCTCGCGCGCTGCCTTCAAGTGCAATCAGAAATTTCGTTTTTTCAATTTTGTGTTTTCAGCTGTGATTTATTGTGTTATGTGTAATCAATCAATAGGTCACGTATGTTATCTCTCAGCAGTTATAATAGTGTTAAAAAATTAAAGCTGTAATTTTCTTTTGCTTCCCTCTCCTCTTCTTCCTTTTTTCCTCCCATTTGCTCCTTCTTCTCATTTGTTTCCCGTATTTCTTCCCCTCATCCTCAAATTAATTTTCCCTGTCTCAAATTATTTTCTTTTCTTCTGTCAATTTCTCTTCTTCCTCCTCTTCTTCCCATCCTCCCCCTTTGTCCTTCTTCCTCTTCTGCATTCTTCTCTGTCTTTTTCCCCCTTTACCTCCTCTCCTTCCCTTAGCTCTTTGCGTCCTCCTCCAGTCCTCCTCCTCCTCCTCCTCCTCCAGTCCTCCTCCTCCTC